TATATATATATATATATATATATATATATACAGTATATATATATATTGTACAACATTACAGTTTTTACTGTATTTTTGATCAAATAAATGTAACCATGGTGAGAGACTTCTTAAAAAAAAACACAAAAAAAACAAAAGTCTTACCAGCCCCAAACGTTTGAGCAGTAGTGTACAATCACAATGACTGACATAAAAACAGTTTCTGAATATCTATTTTTATTGGTGCATGATGTCGGTTCCAACTCATTCACAAAGGCTGACTCACCAGCACAGAAAAGTGTGTAGTGATTTGGTTATATAATCTTTGTGGCATGTTAACGTCTTCATTATTACACACATTTGTCACAACCAACAAGGTTTAATTTTTTTAACTTATTCAGCGTTCAAGTAGTAAATTATATCGGTTATTGTTGTAAAACAAATCTGGTTTAAATGAATAGACTTGAGAGTATCATATATATCAAAAACTCTTTCGACCTGTAGCAACAAAATGGATTTGGACACAAATATTCAATCACACGATTTTGCATTTTTAAAACAGCGTGTTTATTCATTTAATAAAAAAAAAAAAAAAGTAAAACTAAAAAGGACTACTTCATTGTCGCTAGAGTCTTTGAGCATTTCTGGCTCTTCAAGTATATTCGTTCTGTTCATACATAAATGAATAGACTTGAGAGTATCATATATATCATATATATAATTTTTTTGTGTGTGTTTTTTTTACAATTTTGACCTGTAGCAACAAAATGGATTCTTTCATCTACACGTCACTGATCTGTGAGGAGGGATGCGAGGGTGTTTTGTCTGTAATGTGTTCAGCTGTTCATAGTAGTCATGCTCAGAAAGAGGCTTTCTGACTGACTGCAGTGCTAATAATATATAATGATAAGAGAGAGAGGGGGGAGGGGGGTTACACTGAGCTGGCAACAAGGGTATAAAAGAGCCAGGACGAAAAGAAGACAAAGTACACAAGGCGCCAACTTGTCCAGAAACCAGACCCACAAACATACAGAATGTCTCAGGTATGAAGATATATCTATTCAGTGAGCAGATTAGAAATTAAAGTATGTGTAACGATTTAAGTGCTAACTACTGTAGGCATTTCTTTTTTGAAATTATATTTCTATTAGCCAGAGGTTAAGAAGAAGAAGAGGCCAGTTGTAAAGGAGGAGGACCTGAAAGGAGCCCGCAGTAAACTGGGGCTGAAGGGAGAGGTCAAGAGCAAAACATACGAGGTCATGGTGGAGTGTGGTAAGTTTGTCACCGTTTGGACCGTAAATCAACAGATTAGCTATTATAGTTTAGATTAGAACAGGGATTGTCTTTTTGAAAATTATGTACAAGAATGTAATATCTTTTTACATTTTTACCAACTTTTAACATTTTTTCATATAATTTTTATCGTAATACAAAGATTAGAAGACTACCTTACATGGCATATTGTTGTAATACTGCAATATTGTATACAATAATAATAGTAATGTACAGTTATAACACTATTGTATATAATGAATTATCAGGGTCCCTGTAGGTTTTTGAAGGTCAATTTAAGACTAAAGACCCTTTTAAGATCAAGTAAAGAACATTAAGGAATAAATGAAAGAGAACACAAGTCAGTATGTTTTGTAAATGTAACGACAAAGCTTAACTAGAATATAGAAATATCTTTTACTCTACCTTTTGATCACACTGCAAAAAGTGATGTTCCTGATTCAAATAAGAACAAATATCTGCCAGTGGGTTCAGAAAAAATACACTTAATTCAAACGGGAAAAAAGTTTTCACCAGCAAAAAACCCTAAAATCAAACTTGTGTCTTGTCTGTTGTGCAGAGCGCATGGGGAAGGCGGCGCCATCTGTTTTCAGTGGAGTACGATCTGGAAGCGAGACAGTGCTTGAGAAACCCAAGCCTCCATCAGGAAGCGTGTTTGGCAAATGAATGCAGAATGGACAAATGGACTCTGGGTTTTAAATGTATGTCCATGAGCACATAGAGTATGCTTGGCATCCACATCATGAATGAATCCACTGTAATTTGGACAATTGTCACATATTTGTAAGTATTAGTGTATGTTTTTTATACTGTTTGTTGTTGCTAAACATGTTGCACTTAAAAAATAAAAATAAAAACTCATGTGTCATGTTTTCTATATTAAAAAAATTGCTAAAAGTGTCTCTGAGTCACCAAGTATGATTTCTCTGGCATACAAACAAGTCTGTCATTTCAAACCATGTGAACAAATATTACATTAGTGATTCAATGAAATTTTTGCTTGTGCAAATTTGAGGAAGGAGGGTGGAGTACAAATGGAAATAGGTGCTCATTAAAGGATGTAGTCATCTAAGATTTCCTTGTCATGTTTAGGTTGAAATTCTATATGGATGGCTGTTTAGTACATCCGTGAGACAGTTTCAACATCACCAGCAAAGCAACTCCACAACTGCATGAAGTTGCATGGTGTTTTGTCAGGGATATTCCCATCAGCTGATAAAGTGACAAAACAACATGAAAGACCCGAAGTCCAGCTGTAAATTAATTTATCAGATATTGTGCTATTGGACTTGGATAAATAAAAAATCTTCCTACTGTGTAATCTTTGTCATTTACCCAGCAGTTACATGCACAAGGTTTAACAGATTTGTTTTAATATCAGAAGGCCCGCAAACTTTGTTGCACATTCACTGAATGCTACACAACTATAATAATATAAGGTTTATAAATTATTAAACCAATGAATTACCTAAATTATATTTCTTCTTCTTCAAAAAAAAAAAAAAAAATAGCTGAACTGTCCGAATTGCCAAACCACATAACTGCAAAATCAGTCTTGACTAAGCAAGAATCAAACTGATATGAACTGTTATTGTAGCTTAACTGCAAATACTGCAATATATTTATCTGCAGTATAATTTTTATACAAAAAACAAAGCATACTGTACAATTATGATACATCCTGTAGACGAAAGCAGATCTATTTAAAGAATAAGCTACTTTGTGATAGGGATGCAGCAATTAACCGGTTTCGCGATTAACCACGCTTTAAAACGTCACGGTTTCCTAATTCTCTACTCCAGGTCCAAAAGAAATGTAAAGAATGTACAAACTGAAAACATTAAATACTTTTGTGATCTATTTCCATTTGTTATTTTCAAAAGAGAAATACTGTCATGGATGTTTACAGAGCAGAGGTCACCTTTTTTAATTCCAGTGGGAGAGATGGACTTTTGTTTGTCTTTTGTTTATTATTATTTTGTGCTGTATTGTTGGTTACGGTGTTATTTCTGTTTCAAAAGCCAGCAATAAAAAACACTTTAATATCTAAAGTGTTCATGTGGTTTTATACATTAGTAATGTTGGGAAATGAATAAATGCATAATAATCGTCATAATCGTAAAACCGTGATTATTCCTCAGACAATAACCGTACCAACAAAATCTATAATCATTTATTTTGAAAATCTAATCACAAAGTAGGGATGCAACATCCCTACTTTGTGATTAGATTTTCAAAATCTGTCCAATTTAACTTAATTTATAAAAAGATAAACTAGATGACACTACTTGCTGCACAATTGCAGACCAAAAAGTATTTTACAAATTATCTTTCAAAAAGGTTAAAGATGCTACCTAAATGCCACATGAAAATGTAGTTTCATATTTTCAGGAACTGGATATCTGTACTTTTCTGCCTGACCAGAAAATGCATAAATACACATTTCAGCTCTATAAGAAAAGCATCGTTGTATATCAAAATGGGAACTTCACTAGAAATATTCCTAAAACCAAAAGAGGCTGATTATGGGAGATGCATGATAAACCTATAAAGTTAAACTGTGATCTGCTAAGTGAAGGCAACAAAATTGGGGTGCATTATAACAGTTTTGAACAAATATTCAGTCACACGATTTTGCATTTTTAAAACAGCGTGTTTATTCATTTCATTTTAAAAAATAAAACTAAAAAGGACTATTTTATTGTCGCTATAAGAAACAGTACGGAAGCACTGAGAGTCTTTGAGCATTTCTAGCTCTTCAAGTATGTTCGTTCTGTTCATACACCAGGGGACTGTGCTTCTTTGAGGGCATGGGGCCGACTCGGGTTCCTCGGCCCCATTTTATCAAACTCCAGATGCCGTCTCTCCAACGAATCCATCTTTTCCTTCATTCAGCAACAACTGCAGTGAAGTCCAAACAGCAGCAAACGGTTTCGAGTGGGAAAAGTGAAGCGATGAGCACAAGAAATGAATCGAGTTAGAGGAAGAGCAAGACGACAGTAGAAGAGACTGAGAGAAATTAAAGAAAGTTAAGAGGGAAAAGAGCAGTTGCTATGGTATTAAAAACGAGGAGAAATATCTCCATCAAGTGCATGTTAAAACCACTCCAGTCTATTCAATGCAATGCAACACTCAGGAAATTGCATAAATGTTCATCCTGACGATAATTATGAGAACTATGAACAACCCGACTTGCATCATTTCCAACAACAAATAAAAGGAAACTCAGCAATACAATTTGTCGACAGAAAAAGATCAAAATGTAAACAAATTCACTCCTTCGGTGAAAGAAACGAGAAAAAGAGGTTGTAGGATTTGTCCGTGTCCTCCACTCTCGTGCCGCATCCCTTCATACTAAGTGCAACTGAGGCAGTGTTAGTCTCCATCTTTGAATCAAAGTTCCCGCCCTCCAGTCCCTTCACGAAACGACAACCACAGCGCCCCTGCAGGTCATCTGGGGTGCAGCAGAAACCGGTCCAGGTACTGCGACATGGCTTTCCAATTCCGCCACAGAAAAGCCAAGATTACCACAAGGAGCAATGTGGAAAGCGTACGGCTACGTGTTTTCATCAGCGGAACTACACAGTTTGCGACCGTTGAGACGAATACTAGGAGCACCGCCATGACGGCCAGCAGCACGTTGATGAGTTTGCCGAGTAAAGTGCGTGCTGTGGCGTTTTCCAAACCTTCCAACTGAACCACTTGCTGTTGCTGCTGTTGAAGCTCCATCTTAGAGATGCGTGTTTGACAGGCCTCTAGCGCCTCCTACAGGAAGGGAGAGAGAATCATGTTACGAGTAAAGCCGCCTTGTCACAATCTCTGAAATCATTTATTTCAAATGGAGACTAGTATGGGAGCTGCATGGAGTTACGATCATATGAGTACGCAAAGTTTTTCGATCTGATTTGAGCTTTCATTGTGGTGAAATATTTGAACTTTAGTGATGTATTCTAATCAAAACTAAAACGTCTTAACGCTATTTTTTGTCAAATCTGCAGTTAAGAATCATTATGCTTGGAATAAATATGTCGTAATTGTTTGTGATGTTTCCGCAATGTTTCCGATTAGCTCTAGAATGTTTTTCTTTCAGATGTATTGGTGGTTATTTGTTTTGTGTGGATATGTTAACAAATTCATTATATTTATTCATTTTACCATAGTAAATAAGCAAAGGGTAACAGCTGCTACTGACAGCTAAGCTATCCCTTTGAGAGAAACAACACGGATCAAATGCAGCTGATCCAAAACTTCCATTTCACATAATGTAAGACATGAATGCTAAATAAAGGGTAACAGAGTAGAACATGTACATTTTAGCTGCATCATATCATTAAGAATAAGCCCTCAAAGAGGACTCTGAGTGAGTCGCATATGGATTTCATTATGAAAACTGAATTAGAAGACTAAATGTTTTCCATCAGATCGATACAAAACAGCTTTATGATTACAGCTAATGTTCTTTCCCATCAGAAAACTCAGCATTAACATTCTCCTGTTTCACTTAAAAGTTCATATACCCAAAATAAGATTGGTTAAAAAAATGTAAAATATCTTTGAATAATGGACCTTTTTCACATTTCCGGGTTTCTCAGAAGCGGACGTTGTCATAGTTGGGTTAACTTCAAGAGCAGTGAATGGGAGAGTACCACAAATATATTTTTCGCATTCCCATTTGCTCAAATAGCAAAAGATAGTGTTTTCATGACTTTTAAAAAAAGAAAAAAAATTAAGAGAGGCTGAGTCGTCATAGTTGGGTTAACTTCAAGAGCAGTGAATGGGAGAGTACCACAAATATATTTTTCGCATTCCCATTTGCTCAAATAGCAAAAGATAGTGTTTTCATGACTTTTAAAAAAAGAAAAAAAATTAAGAGAGGCTGATAACGGCAGTCAGAAGAGAGAACAATGTCAAATTTACCGTCCCTTTCATAGACACTGCATTAGAAACACCCTCACATAAGCGTTTTTTGTAATTTGATGCAAAGGTGATATAATATGAAGTATAGTGTAATAAAATTTACAAACATTTTTTTTAAAATCTAAATTTAAAAAAAAACTTTCGAGGATTTACGATGCTGATGGACCGTTAAACGCGTCATCGCAGTCTTGTGAAAAGGGTCCATCACATTTTTTAAGACTGATCAAACACCTTTTTTAATTCATCAGTGAAAATCAGTAAATAAAATGAAAAATAGTTTTTTTTTTTGGCCCTTATCAGGTTTAAGGGATTATGTTATAAATTCTTTGACCCCTCTCACTGTCCTGTGAAATCGTGTCCTTCTTTAAAAATGCTAAAATTAAAATGAAAAATATAAAGATAAAAGCTAATTCAAATGATATAATATATACTATAATAGTATCTAAAAGATAACAAAATAACAGTAATGTTGGACATGAGCACCTGTATGTCTCTGGCTCGTTCATTAGACTGGTAAGCAATTTTCTCCTCAATGCTGGCCAGCTCCTGCTTCAAGTTGTGAATCTCATTTTGATGCAGTTCTGTTAAATCATTCAACTGCTCCTCTAGACGTTCACACCTAACACATGAACACACAAAATGAGATAAAACAGCAAAATTAAAAGGCCAGACATCTAGAACATCATCATCCTCTCCAGCGCCTTCTCAACAAGCATGCTGTTTTGACTGTGAAACCTTCAATATCTATACAAACCTACACAGACCACACAGCAGTGCCAGCAGAATCAGTTTCTATAGTAACATGTACCTGTATCTCTCCTCTTGCAGGGCCTGCATGATTTCTGTGTAGTCTCTCTGATAGTGACTCTTCAGGTTTTCAAAGGATTCTTCTAGTCGACTCTGATTGTCCTTCAGTTCCTGGATCTCGTGCAGTAGTGCATCAAAGCCGGAGCTCTGGCCATGCTCCAGTGTATTACCCTTTGAGCCCGGAGGGCCTCCGGGAGCCCCCATGGTGCTATTTGCTCCTGCTGACCCTGACGTAGCGCTGGAGCAGTCGTCCTCACTGCCGTATTTTGGGCTGGACTGCAGCTGCCCAGGTCCTAGGGTCCTAGTGCCTGCTGTCCGTGTACTTGTTACAGGCTCGTCAGGCCCTTGTTGTTCATCCAGAGAGTCTTTTAGAGCAGAGATGTTGTCTGCACTTCCAAACTTGTTGCGGATGAGAGAGGCAAACTCGCGAGGTTTGGACACGACTGCTCCCGCGGCGGAGTGCGTTGCCTGAGAGATACTAGAGAGGCCACCGGTTACCTGAGAGAGACAAATTATTTAGTGAAATACATTTAGCAGTGACACCAAG